GGCGCTGGAGGTCGGGGCGGCCCGCAGAGGGGCGACCCGCTGGCCTGGATCCTCCACCCTGGCCGGCGGGCCCTGTCCCGGTCCCGGGCGCTTCCCCACAGCCCGAGCGCTGCGGTGGGGGGAGCCGGGGGAGGGGAACGGGACAGCGTGGGGGTGCCAGGCGCAGGGTGGCTCGGGGCGGAGGAGAAGGGCCGGGCTGGGCTGGGCTCCAGCCGGGTGAAGCTCTGGGGGTCTGAGCTCCCCCTTGTCCCCTGCTCCACACGCGGGGTCAGAGCTGGGGGGGATCAGCCCTGGCCCGCCTCAGAGCAGGGCCGTCTGCTTTCCGGGCCAAGCCTCCAGGGCAGCTGGATCAGAGATTTCTTAGTCCTGTCTCCAGAGGGCGTGGAAGAGTTTTCCGAGGGACGTGCACATACTTTGTGTCATCGCTTGTTCAAGCCGACCTCCAGCAGAGAGGCTCACACACCACCGTTTCATGCATTACCACGACGGCAAGGGGGGTCCAGCACCCAGTGGGAAACCATCAGCAAGAGACACAGTGACATTGCCACAAAGCAGCCTCGTGTGTGCTCTCTCAGCCAGCTTGGCCTTCCAACATGGACCTCTCGTGCATGGCTGTCTGAAGATGAGAGCTGAAGATTGCAGTCCTCCTCGCAGCGCAACAGGTTTCAGTTTTTGCAGGTGAAGCTGGCCAGGCTCAGCCCTGGCACCAGTGGCTCTTGCTGCTGCTGCCTCCAGCAGCACCAGCATGTGTGTCAGGATGGGCTGAGGCTGCCAGGCAGTGCAGCTGGCCAGCACGGAGCCAGGTGGGTACAGGCAGAGCCCAAACTGGGGCCGCAGAACCAGCCATGCCTGGGGCAAACCCGAGCTATGGTTGCCAACAGCTCCCATTTGGCAAAGAGTTTTGACTGAAATGCATACAGCAGGGGAGGCCTGGTTTGCATGGACATTTCTGAAATCAGACTGGCTGAACATTTCATTTTTTCCCCCTATGCTTCTTTCAGAGGTTGACCTAAAAAATACCAGTAAAATAACTGGAAGATGGAAGAGGTTGTTTCATTCTGGGCTGAACAAAACACTTCAGGTTTGTGCAAATTACTTCCTCCCGCAACGACACTGGCCTCTCCCTCTCAGCTTGGCACACACGGTTGGCTGTGTGGCTGCCAGATCTGAAAAATCCATCCTCTGCCCTGATCTATCCTAGATATCTTGTTTTGGGAGATGGAGCGTGTTGAGTGCTGGGCTGTTTGGCTCTGGGGAAGTCACCTGAGAGGTACATGTCCTACTTTCTCATCCTCCAAAGAGCCAGCTAATGCGCCCTGCTCTTCCCTCTGTGAGCAGCTCCACTAGCTCGGTCAATGCTCCTTAATGCAGGGAGATTTAAATCTTCCTTTGCTGTGGCAGTGGCAAGGTTTTGCTAGTGCCCTCCAGCAACCTGAGGGCATAATGGGCACTGTCAGTTATTAACTAAATACTTGTGGGAGGATAGTTCGGCTTTTGCAAGCCAGTCTCAGCCTGCTCCATTTTCAGACATCTCTCCAGCCTTCTCATCCCCAGCAGTTGGAGGTGGTCCCTTCCCCCCCAAAGCAGCTCCTCCAAGGCCAGGAGCTTTGTGCATACTGCATCCTCCTCTGCCCATTTGCCTGGCAAACTATTAACAGACATCCTTGAAATGAAACACCCTAGGAAGTGCGTGCAGGGACACACTCAGCAAACACTATCCCCAGTTGTCAGACATAGGTGTGACTTAACACTGCTTGAAGACAAAGCTCTACTTCCTGCTTCTTGGGCTTTCGAGACCCTGCTTGCCCCAGACCAACCCAGCCTCTATTACTCTTGTGTTTCTGACAAACCAAAACCAATCAGCTCTGTCACCCGTGGGCAGCTAAATCCCAACAAATGTAGGCACAGCCTTTGCAAGCTTGGTAGTCAAGCTGGTGAAATGCAGAGATAATGACACCTCCGTGGAGGGGACAGAGGCCCCTCAGTGGCGTGCTCCCAGCCCCAACAGGCACCACTTGCTTTAAGAACATCCCAAACACTGTTAAAGCAACTGACATCAGCAACATTGCCTTGCTGGACCAAACCCACAGGTAACAAATTTACATCATGCTGCATGCTCAGCCATCACCGCTGCAGAGCTACCCTGCAGCGGGCAGCAGCTGTTTAGCTGAGGTCTGACAACTGATGTTGCCAAGATGCAAGATGCCCAGCCACACAAGCCACCTCTCAATACCTGTCAGCACATCTTTGCACCCACACCATTTTTCCCTTTAACACCAAAAATAACTTGCATTAAAGTTTTAACAGATAATACACTTGAAGCCCAAGGAAGACCATAAGAAATTTCTCTGCCAGTTCCACACCAGAACACATTTGCTCCTCTCCTCACAATGAGGTCAGGCTGGGGAATATCTCACTCTCCTTCCTGCCAGGGACTGGATGCTTTTTGCTGAAAGCCAAAGTGATGTTGCTCCAGGTCTGCACCTAGCAGTGAGCTTCACACAGCCTGCAGGCAGTACAGCCTCTTCTCTGCACCATCATGTAGACCCCATAAGGATGCAGCCTCCTGGTAGAACCAAATCCTAACAGCTGTGGCTCCCACAGCTCAGCTCTCCGGTGCAGGAGAGATCTTTTTCTTCCCGAGTCGCTGCTCCATAGTGGCGCAGACCCTCACCAGCCATTGGTTTAGTCCCCCACCCTTCAAGGAGAGGAGAGTGCAGAGCGTGCACATTGTGCCAATACCAAAAGTGCTGAGGACAGAGGTGTTGCCCAAGCCCCTGTCCCCACCACTGCAGTCACTACTCCTGTCAGGTGCTGCTCTTCTGTCCTCCTAGCACTCAATTTCATGCTCTCTGCTAGATCATCTCTGTGTCAATCTCTCAAGTCTCTGCAAAACCCCCTTGTTTTTACAGTGCTTATCATTGTAAGATGCTCAGCTCCATTTTACAGGCTGCCACGTCCCCTTGAGCTTCTTAAAATTAACCTTTCTTCAGGGGCAGATACCATAGCTTTAGTTCTCTTGGTCATTAGCACTGAGGATACCTGCTTCTAGCCATTGAGGCACCCCTTAAAATAGAAACCTTAAGAGATTGAAAGCTTGCAGCTGAGCAACTGCAATCACTTATTTACGTCGAGCCTGCAAGAGATCCAGAGACCAACGTCTCTTCCATATGGTCATGATCCTCCTCAACAGAGGACCCTCATCAGCTTGCCTTCTGCCTCAGCTTCCAGCCACTAGAACAGCAGAGAACCCCAAAGACCAAGAAACTCAGCTGGTGGGACTGCAGGCAAGCAAGGAAGAAAGCAAAGGGGCAGGTAAGCAACTCTCCAGCTCTGCACTCTCTCACTCTGCACATTTTACAACAGTGCTTGAAGTCCTGCTCTGGACCAGACTTGGCCACTCTGCAATGCAGCAGTGGCTCTGCCATGGTTGTGTGTCACGGGGCAGGGACAGCTGCTGAAGGAGCAGAACAGCTTACACACAGGCAACGCTTGGCTTAACCTGCTTAATCACCTGTTAAAGCATGGATCTAAGCATTAGCTACTACTTCCACTACAAATGCTTCTGACCCTGCAGAAGCAGGACTCAAGCCTGCAGCACAAGAGACCTGAGAGTCCCAAAGAGCTGCTGGCTTAGATATTTACCAAAAATCAAACTCTTAAAGGAATCCCACACTCCCACCATTTTACAAAACTTCCAAGACCGGAGGATACAGAAGCTGCACAGTGGATTATCCAGGCAACATTTATTAGAGTATTTCAAGTATACAATGATTTTACTGATGGCTGTGAGCAGCTAAGATGCAAACAGATGCCAGTAGGAAAGGGTGACCTAGAACTAGCAGGCTTTGCAATTCTTGTGGGAAATTAATGCTTTCAGCTGAAAGAAGAGGAAAAGAAAGGATCAGACTAAAAGATTGAGCAAGGGGAGGAGGAAATAGAGAAGATTTTATTTGAGATCACTTACTTGAATTGGCAACTCAAAAGTAGCAGAAGCTGCCTGCTATTGCACTCTTCCCTTGGCATCCCAAGGACCTAAAATAGCCAGGCACATTTTTTCCACCCAGAACAGACAGCATTTTCCCTGGTAAGAATGGAGGCCTGCAGTAATGGGCCATTCTGGAGCCCAGCACTTAGATCCCTGGCTTTGCATACTCATATGTGAGAACCAGGCTGTTGGACTTCCATCAGCAAGGAAGCAATGCAGACTTCGAGCAAGATTACACTAAAACTCAACTCCTCACTATAAGGCAGCTTTAGGTCAGGACTCTTTTTGGGTGCCTGAGCTGTTGTTTAGAAAAGCAAGGACCACATGGCAACAAGACTACAAGGTCCTGGGACAGTAACAAGGACTGTGCGTGTTTCCCAAGAACTATTTCTGAAAGACACGTCCTTAAAAATATCTTGAAGCAGAGGCTCCCCCCTTGATGCACAAAAAGGGCATGACTGGGGAGGAACTGAGCTATGAAGTGATTGACTCACAAAAAGCACCTCACAAACCAGAGGCTATGTACTTTGCCTGATTTGCAAGTTAGTAATTCTGCATTTAGGATAATAGCTGCCTCAATTGTGTCTTAGTCTCCTGCATTTATTAACAAGGAGCAGCTGAATTCAAGAGCTTAAAAAAAAAAAAAGGAATTTAAATGCTTAACTTTTAAAAGGGTATCTCCAGAATGACTCTCCTTGAAGACTACTAAGCTCTGAGGTACACGATGGCAACTTAGTAGTCAGGCTAGCAGAATGCAGCGGAGTTTCTAAGCCTCCTGAATACATCTTTGTTAACCAAATGAATCACAGCTCTTTCTAGCAAAATTGCTTAAAAATTTGTCTTCAGCAAAGACCATTTAAAAATTCTGGTCGACAACTGATTTGCATGTAAAAAAAAATACTAGAAATGGTAACAACACAATCTGTTTAATCAAATCAGATCTGATTACTACAAAAACATGCTAAGGACAGCCACTCAACTCATATCCTGGATGCTGCAGTGCCTTCCTCCCATGTACCCTACAACTGCTTTTTAAAAACTGTTTGTCTGAAGGACAACAATGGAAGACAAGTCATGATTTAATGACAGATTTCAAACAGAAGGACATACATACATTAAATTAACAGATTCAACCTTCACCACACAGTGATAAGAGTTACTGGCTAGAGTCATGGAAGGTTCCAAATTTCAACAGCCTTGAACCACTTCCAATAATTCCAATGGCTTTTTAATAGTTCCAACAATTAACAGGTATATAAAACGGAGATGGACTTCTCCAGCAGAAGAGTTGGGGCTCTTCCAGGCTAATCAGACCACTGGTACAGAAGGGGGTTGATTTGACTTCCCCCAACTTCCCACCAGTCCACTAAAGACTATGATTTATTAAAACCTTCTCCATTTACTGACGACTGATTTAACAGGCAAAAGCTGCAGACTGTGTCAATCATAGTGGATAGCAGTATAGAAGATTATCCAAACAACCTGTGGAGAGGAAAGGAAGTGAAGGTTATTTTGATGCCTCTGGAGAGGGTTCAGACATGGAAGCCTCACTTCTTGCTCTCAATAGAGGACTTGGGGGCTGAATTCCAGCTTTGAGATGGTCTCGGAGAGATGTTAGGATCACCATGTCCCACAGACGGTGGCATTCAACTTGTCTTTTGGGGTAACTAGCTTCTCCACATTAAAATCCCACCACAGTCTCTCTAGTGATTCAGAAACACCACCAAATCAAGTGCTGAGCGTATTCAGAGACTTCAGGGAGGGGAACAACAGGAAAAAAAAAGACACCCAAAAAATCAGTTTGGGTGTAACTGGCTCTAGATGAAACTCTGCTGGATATCTGGGACAGAGGATGGGAAGACATAAAAGTTAAGTAGTAGATGCAGAAGTATAGCTGCCTGTTCCTACATCCTTTCCTACAGAGAAATCCCAGGCATTAATACTGTATTTCATAGCCAGTAGCCATCAGATTTTGTGATTTTCTTTCCCAATGAACTCCACTTATTAGATGACGTTAACTAGATTAGATTAGATGATCTCTCTTCTATCAGCGTACCACCTCACCAGCTTTCCTTCCAGGTCTTTTCTCTCGGAAAGTGTACCAACACAATTCACTAATCAACTTAAAAGAAAGCAAGAGGCATTACCAGGAACAGTGCAAAAGATGTCATGAATCCTTCCTTTGTTAGCTCCCACGTCCCGCCATACTCCTCCTCATCTATCTGCTGGAAGCTACTGAAGTAGAGGTACAGAACACCAGCATTGATCAGGCAGAACCTGGAAGAAAGAGGTTAGGAACCGTCATTTCGGTGATATCGGATGCATGTATCCAACATGCCATACAGCAACGTAGCAGTGAAACGTCTTTTCATCCGCAGCAGAGAGGAAGCAAAGAGGAATGCTGTTCCTGCAACGCCTCCCAGGCAGCTCAGTCACTTCCTTAAAAGAGCACCTCCAGGTCAGCTTGTCGTAGCGTGCTAGGTTTGGATGAAGTTCGCGTCACAAGGCACAACCTACTCCTAGTAAGGCTCAATAGACAGTAGTCAAAAGATGGAAGTTTCAGCAGATCTGCAAACCCTGCAAGTTTTCCTATCCAGCAGATCATCAGCAGTCCTGCTCCCACAGAAAATCCAACTTCCTTGTGTGTGTGCTACTTGATTTTGAGGCTGCTAAGAGGAAAGACTGTTATAGACTCCATGCTCAGTGTAAGATCCCTGTTAGTGTCCTACGACCAAACAGAGTGACTTAGAGATGACAGCCTGAGAAGACTCAATAGCACCCTCAGAGTCAGAGCACTGGGGTTCAACTTGAGACAACTTTTAGCATGCTCTAGTCTGTGCCAACAGTTACACTGCAACAGAGAGAAAAAAACATGACGTCCTGTTTGTCCTTAGACACATTTGGTTTTACACCACCCCAACTTAGGACTGGGGCACCTTGGGGCACTCCTGGAAAGAAGGCTGTGTAGGCAGGGCAATACGGGAAGACATACACACAAGTTCAGTGACTGGCAGCAAGCTGTTAGCAGCTGTGCGACTGTGTACCACAGAGAAACAACACACAGAGTTCTAGAAGCTTTTCATTTTTCACCATACACCAAATCACTTTTATTTCTTACTAACATTTAGCACAGGAATTGGCTGAGGTGCCTTATGAATTTATGGATGACTAAGTAAGAACAATGCTTCTCAGCTACTCCACATCTGTTACTGGGAGCACTTTAGATTTAACTGTTTGCATGTAGCTATTGAGTTCCTATTGGAGCATCACTGCTTTACAGCCCCTTTTTCCTAAATTTCAAGCTTTTTCTTTTTTTCTTCCTTAGAGACACTTGCTGCTACTCCCTCCACTTTCTTGCCACAGCCAGGACACTCACAAGATGACAAGTCAACTTGCCTAAGAAAAGCTGTGAGGTTGTGAGCTTGACTAGGCAGAGATATTTGCAAATGGAGACTCCCCAGAGCAGACACAGCATCTTCCCACACCCGGTGTTCAGAGAGCGGGGCTGTGTTTCCCATCTCTGGTGTCCCTCCAGAGGCTTTCAGGCATATGCCAGGGCCAAACAAATTTTCATTTCATAACTCAGAGTGCTCACTGCAGCCTTCGCACACCTCCTGAGAAGTGACCTGAATCCCACGTCTTGGTGGGGATCCGATGTGTACATACCCTTCTAGGTACTGCCTTCCCCCCCACCACATGGCTGAAAGAAGACCTTCAGCAAGCTGGGAGCACTGCAGAAGCACTGCCAATGGTGCCACTTTGCCTGCTTGTTACCTACGGTCTTTGGTGTTTTGAAGAAACCTTTTCTTTTTCAAAGAGAAGCTGCCCCTCTTGTCTACTAACAGAACCTCCTCTCTGAGGAGGGCTCCTGACTCAAAGAGGACTACCACACCTTGTCCTCTATGGTCCTTACTTCTTAGGTGGCCACACTAAGCACCATACTCATAGCCGCTATTCACACAGGCAGGAACAGGCCACTTCACAAGTCAGTTGAACCTCTCGTTCCCTTCTTCTACCCCTGCCCCTTTAATAATAATAAAATAAATAATAATTTTAAAAAGCATTAATTGGGCTGAGGAGAGAGAAAGAGGCTGATGAAGACATGTTATGATTTGTAAGAATTTAATAACAATTAATAATCTGGAATGCAACGCTGGCTTTAAGATGCATGGCAGACAGAGGCTGTGTTTGGCCAGCCCACTGTTTATAGCACAGCTTTAAACCAGACACCAAGTAAAGTCCAAATGTGCGAAAGTACAGGAGACAGAAAAGGAAATAAACCTTACACTGCTATTCCCACGAATCCTTTCAGTGGAACTATTCCCCAGATGATTCCCAAAATAACTGCAATGATCTGCCGGAACCAGTAGATCACATCTAAAAACTCGTCCTGAGGAGATAAAGTACAAGAAAGATTTTGGCATTTACTATGTTTCCTTTTTTTAAAGCATCATACAATTAACAGGTGAAAATTTAACACACTGAACACTTAGTTTTCCATTCAAAGTATAAGACATTGTACTCAGAGCAGATGAAAGCAGCTTATGACATCATGCACCCTGGGCTGTTCTGCTTCCAAATTAAATACACAGCTTTGTCCTCCCGTGGGCTAACTGCAGAGGCAAACAAGTATTGAGTCCCCTAGTTTACTAAAGATTCAATCCTATAAAAACTCACTGGAATAAAAAGTTAAAGAACTGTTTATGCTTTAAGACTGTTATAGCCACTCTCAGTGCCCCAGCCCCTCTCCCACCCAGAAACAAGTGCTACCAGTAGCCAGTACCCATGCCAATTCCAAACTGCAAACCATATCTCACACATACTACAAGCGCACCTGCATTCTTTCAGAGCAGCAGCAAAGTGGTCATTCCTGTTTGTCCACAGGGCCGATACAACTTTAAGTATTGCAGCTGGACAATGCTGACTCACGCTTTAAATAAAATTCACTTCTGCTCACATCTTTTTTCCTAGCCTCTCCAAGGACGGGATTGCCCCAGCACACCCCCAAAGACCAACGGCCTTCGTGACTTTACTGCAGGATGCACGAGGTCATTTTGTTCCACGTGGAAGACTAGAAGCCACATCAGATATGGTCGTTTCTCTCAGTCACTAAATTTCTCACTTGTTTTAGCCTTCAGTTCACATCCTATTGCATCAAAAACATTGGCACAGCCTGTGCCAACTCTGAAATTCCTGCCCAATTTGTCAGAGGGAGATGAGGTCGAGTACAGGAGAGCCCCGCCGGTTCTGTGAGCAGCAGCAACCGACAAGAAAAAAGTGACACAGACTCGCCTGTCTCCCGAGGAAAAGCAGGGCAGAGCCCGCACCTGCTCCCCGCTGAAAGGCAAAGCCAGCCAACCGGGGAGCAGATGTCCCTGGCACATAGGCCGTGTGCGGGGTATGGCAGGACCCGGGATGCTGCAGGAACTCAGAGCACCCTGTGGGTGTGCTGCTGGGGGGCAGCAGCAGGAAAAGGCGCAGACCAGGGGCAGATGCACAGGACAAAAGGCTTCACCAGCGCTAAAACCACTGGGAAGTCTGTGGCTGACACGTTTTCCCTCACACTTGGAAGGCTCGCTGACAAACACGAGCAAAACATGCAAGCTGAGCACACGCGTGAAGTTTTGTAGAAGCCGAAGCTCTTTTTGCACTAGTGGACGGCGAGGCTAGGAACAGCAAAGCAAACCGCAGGCAGCGGAGCGGCCGCCATGACGTTACTGCTCCGTGAGAGCATCCCCGCGCCGCGACACTGGAGCGGACAAACTCTGACGAGCCTGTTCTGGCCGCTGCCCTTTCCCTTCAGACCTGACAGGTCAGACGCATTTGCAAATCCGCACCTCCCCCCCCCCCCCCCGCCGCCGCTGCCGCCGCCGCCG